AAGAGGATAGGGGCCAGGTGGTAATGCAATGGTAATGCAACTGGAATCAGAAGGGAAAGGTTCTCGGTTCATGCTTTCACACCTCCCTGCGCGTCCTTGGCACGCATGTGTGGCTGTGCTCTAGGCTGGCTGATCAGGTTGGATCGTGGGATGAGGGCCCTGGGGGGAGGTACCTTTCTCTCTCTCCCTCTGCCTCCCTCTCTCTCAAAGAAGTAAACTAACAAAAATGTTAAAAGAGGATGCTGTGTAAATGGAATTATAACGTATAACCTTTTGAGATTAGCTTTTTTTCACTCAGCATAATTCTCTGAAGACTAATCCAGATCGTTGCATGTGTCCATTCTTCACTCTCATTCCTTTTTCTTGTCAAGTAATATTCTATTATATAAACATACCACAGTTTACATTATTTTTAAGAATTACTTAATTTTATTTGTTATTATTTTTTAATTTGACCAGAGAGAGAGAGAAAAGGAAAGCAAGAAAGCAAAGCGCCAGGTCCGGCATTTGAACCAGTCAACCACGTGGGAGTCCAGCACCTTAACCATCGAGCCACTGCTGGCCCCAGTTTACATTACTTTTAAATCAATACTGAAAAAATATATATTTTTTTCTTTTTAATTTGCTATAGGATGTATGTGCTTGCCAGAGATGGGAGGAGAGAGAAAGCACCACACGGGAGAGATGGTCACATCACAATCCCTTCTCCTCCACTCTCTCAGGATTTGGGGCGCACATGCACATGTGCCCCCAGCATGATTTTCAAGCCTCTGGGCCCAGGACTCAAACCAGAGTTGGCCATGTGGGATCCAGCCACCTAACTACCATGCTACCTGCTAGCTTCAGATGAATTCTCTCTTCAGATCCTTGGCCCCTTTTTCTACTTTCTGCCTATTTATTAGCTATTTACCATACATATTACAAATTCTTCTTTCTAATTTAACTTTGCTTAAGATAATTGTTATAATTAAATTTTTTTACATAGCGAAACCGTTCATATTTTCTTTTATCTTTAAGGGAAATTTTTGCTATAGAGCACAGCACATGCGCTCGCCAAAGACAGAAAGCGAGAAATCACCTCCCAAGAGGGGTGGTCACATGGTAATCCCTTCTCTTCCATCCTCTTCTAGGGATTTTGGGCATGCATGCACATGCCTGGCATTGAGTTTTAGGCCACCAGGTCCAGGACTCAAACCATGGTTGACTACGTGGGAGGCCAGCAATGTAACTGTTACACCATCTGCTAGTCCCCAGTTCATATTTTCTTATAGCTATTCTTTTCTTTCTTTAGAGAAAGATTTTTTGCTATAGGTCGTGTGCACTTGCTGGAGAGACAGATAGAGAGAAATAATCCTCCAGGGGGGATGCTATGCTGCAGTCCCTTCTACATTCTCTTCTTGGGATTTTGGTCATGCACACACATATTCCAGGTGTGAGTTTTAAGCCACCGGATCTGGGACTCAAACTGTGGTTGACTCTGCCAGAGTCCAGACACGTAACCATTACATCATCTGTTGGTCCCATAGCTATATTTTCTATGTTAAAATCTTTAATAGCTTTTAAACTTATTTTAGCATAAGAATTTAGCCAGTTGAGTCTGAATCCACTAATGATGTGATGCAGTAGAAAGTCCCTGGGTTTGGTCAGAAGGCTTGACTTCTAGTCCTGGTTCCGCATTCACTACTGATATAAGTCTCTGGGCAGGCCACCACCCTGTGGAACCTGCCTTTTCCACTTAACACAATTATTGTGAATGAGATCATAGATGTCAAAGGATTCTCCAAAAATGTTCACCTGGTGCCTACTTATAAAGAAAATTTGAAGCATTATATATAATACATACATATTTGCATTGGTTTCAATCAGTTATCTGTTTATAAAGAAAAATGGAAGCATTCACATATAGATAGATAAATAGATAATATATATACTTGCACTGGCTATACTACTACTGAGTTGTTGGAAAAGTCATGATGTATTTTTTTCTGTGCAAAACTGTGTCATGACTTTCCTGGCAACCCAGTATTTCTACTCCATGTGCCAGGTGCTAGAAAACTCTGAATGTCAACCTCAGAAAAATGAGCTTTTCCTTCACCCAAATATTATATCCAAAGAGGTCAAATGATTTTGCCTGGGCTCACAGGTAAAGTCTAGGGAGGAGATAGTTCCAGAAGTGAACCCAATTAGCTCTACCCAAGGCTTCTCCTCAAGTCAGAGAGCACCAATCTCCTGAGTGAAGTCCTGCTAAAATAAACTGCCCTCACCTGCCCATATTCCTAGCCCCCTACATTAAAAACAAAATAAGGGATACGTCGCTGAACTCCCACGTAGGCAACTGCAGTTCGAGTCCCAGACCTAGTGGCTTAAACTCGCACCAGGCACGTGTGCGTGTGTGCCCAAGATACCGAGAGGAGAATGGCAAAGAAGGGAACATGGCGTGGCTATCCTCCCTGGGGGGTGATTTCTCGCTTTCTATCTCTCTGTCTGTCTGTCTGTCTGGCGAGCACACACGCCCTATAGCAAAAACCTCTCACAAAATAAATAAATAAATAAAATACTGTCTGAAAAACAGAGCCTATAGGATGTGGTGGGAGTGGCAACAGAGAGAGTGAAATGGGAGAGCTGAATTTCAAGGTATAGACTCCCACCTTGCTTCCGACAGCCTGGGATTTTGATAAAGGCTCCATAGTCTGTCACCATAGCAACCTATAAGATCAAAAAAAGATTAAATGTCACACAAATAAGGATCATTTTTTTTCCTAGTCTCCCCAAATGTCTACTTGGTACCGACAGTTCAATCTGCTAAAAAACTGCCTCGAGGTGATATTCTGTCAAATATTCTTTTTGCTCTTCTGAAATCTAGACTGACAGGCACCTGTACATAGGCCAGCTGACGGCATGGTGCCTAAGACAGCTGGATCCCAGGTGGTCAACTGTGTGGTCAGAGTCCTGGACCTGGACCTTGAAAGACAAGCTGGGCACGCATGTGTGTGCAAACACCCAAACTCCTGAGAGGAGAAGAGAGAAGGAATTGCTTCGACCTGAAATTCAGCCCTCCTATTTCATTCTCTTTGCTAGCTGCCACCTCCCCCAGGGGGTGCTTTCTCACTTTCTCTTTTTCTCTCTGGGGCAAATGCATGCACCCTATAGCAAATTTAATTTTAAAAAACAAACAAAACAAAAAAAAACAGAAACAAAACAAACAACGAAGAAAACGCTGACGTTGGCCATTTGGGATCCAGTCATCTTAACCAACACACCAACCATTGTCACATCCCACGATGGTGTCAGGGAATGCCCAAATCCCACACCTATTCAAATTGCCAAAAATGGTTTTAGGAACAAAAGGAACAAACAGTAGAAACCAGAAAATAAAGTTAAGACTTTGTATTAGCTGGAGCTGAGGCCTCTAGTCCTAATACAGAAAATTTCAATAATGTGGGATATCCTTTTTCCTAAACTTCAAATCAAACCTAACCAGTCTGTCGTATTTCACTTGACGTCTGAGTCCTGAGTTTATCAAGACAATTTGAGAACTTGCCACTACACAGACATCTAACAGAACCTGAAGACATCTTTACTGAGAAAAAAGTCTTCCCTTAGCTCTTGCAGAGTTGACTTAAGACAGAGACACTGGAGGCTTGATAGGTTTATATACTACATAAACAATAAATGTCAGGGATGGAAGGCCCTGAACCCCTCCCAGCCAGATGGCCCCAGGCTCTACTTTCCACACCACCTCCCTGTGTCCCTCAGCCCGCCTCGCTCCCGCCTGTAATTTGGGATTGATGTTGTTACTACATGTTGTATTTATCACTAAGCTCACTATTATTTATAAAATAGCCAATGCAGCCCTATACACATGTGGTCTTCTCAGTGCCTTTAATGTCGGTCTGTCTTGGGCAATCCCTCTCTCAGCCGCACCCTAACTAGAATAAGGGGGCTGAATTAGACAACTCTTGCATCTCTGCGATCACTAGCATATACCGATGCTCACGATATGAAAACACTGTCCCAACGTTGCATGCAGTCCTCCCAACACCGGGTGGAGTTGGTACTATGACGGGCCTTCAAAACATTCATAAGATGAGTGAAAAACTATACATGATTATAACATTTTTAATACCAAAATATTGAAAAACTTTCTTTTTTTTCCCTTCCCTTTTTATTTGCTAGAGGGCATATGTGCTCCAAGGAGATGACAGAGAGAAGAAAAGTGAGAAAAGCCCTTCCCAGAGGGAATGGCCATGCTGCAATCCCTTCTCTTCCCTTTCTCCTTTCAGGATTTTGGGTTTTGGATGCACACATACATACGCTTGATGTGTTTTCCAGCCACCAGGTCCGGGACTCAAACCACACATTCAGCCATGTGGGATTCAGCCACCTTAAATACCATGCCACCAGCTGGCCCTTTTTACACCAAAAATAAACTAGTACTTTAATTGCATTTTTTTTAAAATAGAAGTTTATGCCTTAGGATGTGTGCACTTGTCCCAGAGAAAGAAACAGACACAGTGAGAGGGAAATTGAGAAATCACCCCCCCGAAGGGGGATGGCCACGCTGCAATCCATTCTCCTCCCAGAATATTGAGTAGGCACACACACATGCCCAGTGTGATTTTCAAGCCACAGGGTCCAGGACTTGAACCACGGTAGGCCATGTGAGAATCCAGTGACATAACCATTACGCCATCTGCTGGTCCCTTAATTGCATTTTTTGGTGAACATTTTTTGTAGTTCCCTTGTATTATTTCTACCGAGAGGAGAATGGAAGAGAAGGGAACATGGCGTGGCTATCCTCCCTGGGGGGTGATTTCTCGCTTTCTATCTCTCTGTCTGTCTGTCTGTCTGGCGAGCACACACGCCCTATAGCAAAAACCTCTCACAAAATAAATAAATAAATAAAATACTGTCTGAAAAACAGAGCCTATAGGATGTGGTGGGAGTGGCAACAGAGAGAGTGAAATGGGAGAGCTGAATTTCAAGGTATAGACTCCCACCTTGCTTCCGACAGCCTGGGATTTTGATAAAGGCTCCATAGTCTGTCACCATAGCAACCTATAAGATCAAAAAAAGATTAAATGTCACACAAATAAGGATCATTTTTTTTCCTAGTCTCCCCAAATGTCTACTTGGTACCGACAGTTCAATCTGCTAAAAAACTGCCTCGAGGTGATATTCTGTCAAATATTCTTTTTGCTCTTCTGAAATCTAGACTGACAGGCACCTGTACATAGGCCAGCTGACGGCATGGTGCCTAAGACAGCTGGATCCCAGGTGGTCAACTGTGTGGTCAGAGTCCTGGACCTGGACCTTGAAAGACAAGCTGGGCACGCATGTGTGTGCAAACACCCAAACTCCTGAGAGGAGAAGAGAGAAGGAATTGCTTCGACCTGAAATTCAGCCCTCCTATTTCATTCTCTTTGCTAGCTGCCACCTCCCCCAGGGGGTGCTTTCTCACTTTCTCTTTTTCTCTCTGGGGCAAATGCATGCACCCTATAGCAAATTTAATTTTAAAAAACAAACAAAACAAAAAAAAACAGAAACAAAACAAACAACGAAGAAAACGCTGACGTTGGCCATTTGGGATCCAGTCATCTTAACCAACACACCAACCATTGTCACATCCCACGATGGTGTCAGGGAATGCCCAAATCCCACACCTATTCAAATTGCCAAAAATGGTTTTAGGAACAAAAGGAACAAACAGTAGAAACCAGAAAATAAAGTTAAGACTTTGTATTAGCTGGAGCTGAGGCCTCTAGTCCTAATACAGAAAATTTCAATAATGTGGGATATCCTTTTTCCTAAACTTCAAATCAAACCTAACCAGTCTGTCGTATTTCACTTGACGTCTGAGTCCTGAGTTTATCAAGACAATTTGAGAACTTGCCACTACACAGACATCTAACAGAACCTGAAGACATCTTTACTGAGAAAAAAGTCTTCCCTTAGCTCTTGCAGAGTTGACTTAAGACAGAGACACTGGAGGCTTGATAGGTTTATATACTACATAAACAATAAATGTCAGGGATGGAAGGCCCTGAACCCCTCCCAGCCAGATGGCCCCAGGCTCTACTTTCCACACCACCTCCCTGTGTCCCTCAGCCCGCCTCGCTCCCGCCTGTAATTTGGGATTGATGTTGTTACTACATGTTGTATTTATCACTAAGCTCACTATTATTTATAAAATAGCCAATGCAGCCCTATACACATGTGGTCTTCTCAGTGCCTTTAATGTCGGTCTGTCTTGGGCAATCCCTCTCTCAGCCGCACCCTAACTAGAATAAGGGGGCTGAATTAGACAACTCTTGCATCTCTGCGATCACTAGCATATACCGATGCTCACGATATGAAAACACTGTCCCAACGTTGCATGCAGTCCTCCCAACACCGGGTGGAGTTGGTACTATGACGGGCCTTCAAAACATTCATAAGATGAGTGAAAAACTATACATGATTATAACATTTTTAATACCAAAATATTGAAAAACTTTCTTTTTTTTCCCTTCCCTTTTTATTTGCTAGAGGGCATATGTGCTCCAAGGAGATGACAGAGAGAAGAAAAGTGAGAAAAGCCCTTCCCAGAGGGAATGGCCATGCTGCAATCCCTTCTCTTCCCTTTCTCCTTTCAGGATTTTGGGTTTTGGATGCACACATACATACGCTTGATGTGTTTTCCAGCCACCAGGTCCGGGACTCAAACCACACATTCAGCCATGTGGGATTCAGCCACCTTAAATACCATGCCACCAGCTGGCCCTTTTTACACCAAAAATAAACTAGTACTTTAATTGCATTTTTTTTAAAATAGAAGTTTATGCCTTAGGATGTGTGCACTTGTCCCAGAGAAAGAAACAGACACAGTGAGAGGGAAATTGAGAAATCACCCCCCCGAAGGGGGATGGCCACGCTGCAATCCATTCTCCTCCCAGAATATTGAGTAGGCACACACACATGCCCAGTGTGATTTTCAAGCCACAGGGTCCAGGACTTGAACCACGGTAGGCCATGTGAGAATCCAGTGACATAACCATTACGCCATCTGCTGGTCCCTTAATTGCATTTTTTGGTGAACATTTTTTGTAGTTCCCTTGTATTATTTCTAGTTTATTTGAGTTTATTTGACAAAGTGATATAGAGAGAGATCAACTTACCAAAGGTCCAAAGCTAGTAAGTAGCAGAGCTGGATTTTGAAACCAGGTCTTCACTCCATTAGAGTTGCTCTTGGGCTCCCTTTAACTAGAAAAGTCTAATGGCTAAAAACCATGTGACGTCTGATATCCTGCCTGCCTTTGGCACAAATCCTAGAAACTATTCATGGTAGGTCCTTATGCTGTAGATGAGGCAGAAAAAGAACAGGATTTGGAGGAAAGACGTGGCTTCTCACCACAGCAGCTCTGCCATCTCCTACCCTTGAGACTTTGAGTACAAAGTGCCATTGAGGGTCTAAGTTCCCACCTGATCTCACTCTGTTGCTGCGGATAACGAATGAGGTACACAGTGTGCCTGGCACTGGTATTTGGCATATAATATCCATTCAAGAAAGTGTGAGAGGTTGCTATAGCACACGTGAGCTTGCCAGAAAGAGAGACACACAGAGACAGAGAGCAAGAAATCACAGCCCCCCCAAGGGGGGATGACCACGCCGCAATCCCTTCTCCTCCATTCTCCTCTTGGGATCTTGGGTGTGCATGCCCATGCGCCCGGCATGAGTTTAAAGCCACCAGGTCTGGGATTCAAACGACAGTCAACTACATGGGAGTCCAGTGACATGGCCATTATGGCAACTGCTAGTCCCCAAAGTGTAGCTTTTTAATAATGCACAGTCTAAGATGCTAAAACACAAAAAGATTAGGTGGAAAGGCACACAACCAACTTGCATACAAGTCAGTTACATCCAGGGGCAGAAACTGGGTCCCCTGGCTTCTAGTCCAATGCCTTTTTACCAAATAACATTATTACTTCAATGTTAGGATGGAAATAAAAAACTTCATTCTCATTTAAAAACTTTTATAGGGCCAGCTATTGGTGTGGTGTCTAAGGTGGTTGGATCTCACATGGCTGAATGCAGATCGAGTCCCGGAACAAGCAGCTTAAAATACACACCAGGTACATGTGTATGTGTACCCAAAATCCCCAAAGGGAGAAATAGAGAAGAGATTGTGGCATGACCTTCCCTGACAAGAATACGTTCTTCCTCCTCCCACTCCACCTGTCTCTCTTTGGCAATTTCTTTTTTTAAGGTTTTTGCCATAGGGCATGTGTGCTCAGACAGAAAGTAAGAGGGAACGTGAGAAATCACTCCCTGGGAGGATGGCTATGCCACAATCGCTCTTCTATTCTCCTGGGATCTTGAGCGTGCACGCATGTACACAAGGCCAAAATGAGTTTCAAACCACCTCCGGGACTCAAATCGCAGTTGGTCATGTCCAGCAACTTAACCACCATGCTACCTACTAGGCCTTCTGGGCAAATTTTTGTTTTTAAAAATGTTTTAATTCATTGTAGCGTGTATACACTACATACTGCGAGTGACAGCGAGAAAAAGAACACTTGCCACAGGACTCAATCACACCTCAATCTTCTTCTAGTCCTTTAGCCTGCTAGGATCTTGGGCATGCTCACACACACCTGGCACGTTTTCAGGTCAACTGAGCCAGGAACTTGAACCATGGCTACCTTGTAGATTCCAGCTCCACAGTCCAGTACACAAGTAGCACCACAGAGTTGGGCTGCTTCTAGTTTTTCAAACGAGGATAGGAGACACAGCACTTAAACTAACTCCAAGACACAGCAGGGGGTTACAAGCCAAGAATTCTTAACTCCTCTTTCATACTGACGGACTAGCTATGCTGGGGTAGAGCAGGGCAGAGCACAGCACAGTCACACTGACGCTTCACATCAAGGTAAGAGAAAGGACTTCCTAGATTAGCTGGTCCAATACTGTCATTCTTCTTTTCTTTCTTTCTTTTTTTTTTTTTCAGAGAGAATTTTTTTTTCTATAGGGTGCCAGAGAGAGAAAGACACAGAGACAGAAAACAAGAAATCACCCCCCGGGGGTATGACCATGCCCCAATCCCTTCTCCTCCACTCTCCTCTCAGGATTTGGGGCATTTCAAGTCACTGGATCCTGGACTTCAACTGTGATCGGCCACATGGAAGCCCAGCACCTTAATCACTACACCACCTGCTGGCCCCCAATCCTGTCATTCTTCGGAGGAGGCAAGCGAAGACCAGAAATACAAAGTGACAAAGTGCTCACCAAAGATGACAAACCAACTGGTTCTATGTAAAAGAGGGCTGTATGAATAAAGAAGTCTTTCTTTTTAAAAATAAACTCACACTTTAATTCAAGTTTTCCATTAACTCTTTTCTTTATTCATGATAGAGCTCGTGCACACGTGTAGCAGTCAAAGACAGCAGGAGGAGAGGTGCACTCCTCACGTGCCCTGGTCGTGCTGTGATCTAGCCCTCCAGCCTATCGGATCTGGAAACTCGTGTATGCCCAGTATTGGGGCTGACTGGGCAGGGACTGGAGCCCCGGCCGCCGTG